ATCCTTGCACCTCTCTAGTGAACACAGCAAGTGTTTATTGTTGACGCTCATAAGTAGTAAAGTCTCATGGCCCAGAGATTGCTGGCTGCCCCTCGTGTGAATTTTAGAACAGAAACTCGCAGTCTAAAAAAAAAAACAACAACAAATCTTTAGGTTAAGCCAAAAGCATGTTCTATAGATGATGAACGGATTCAATTATGGTGTTACTAAATTCTAAATGATCACTAATTAAGTCAATTTTTTTTTACTAAGCGAGTTCATTGATGGCTGATTTCTACGCTAGACAAATACTCTAGATGTCTTGGGTTTAAATTCTTATAATTATTGCAAAATTTTGTCTTGGTTAAAATGTGTTAAGATATGTATTTATTAATTATGTGCTGAAAACGCATATGTACAATTTCATCTAAAACATTTAATTTATTGGGATCAGTTAACAAAATCGTGTCTTCTGTTACATTGACGTCAAGGGAGTTAAGATGTGAGATTAAACAAAATGATCACTTATCTACACAAAATAAGGAGGATGAATGAAAAGGTACAAAAGGGTTAACCAAGAAGCAACCAAACACACACATAATCACCACACACTACCTACACACAAACTCACATGTCATAGGTCAAACAGAAATTCTGAAATAACACTGAAATCAAAGGAGACAGAAAGGACGCAGATTTTTAGATACTTTATGTATATTTTTCTGGTTATCCCTGCTGATATCTTTAAGCATATCCCACAACGTATTGTGGGTTTTCTTTGAACGGATTGAAACTATGACCAAGGAAAACCCCACAAAACAAATGAATTTCTGAAATATTGATAAAATCAATGTCATGACAATGTCGCTGGGTCCATCCCCCACCCCCAACAGTTCTTAAAACCACATAGAGAGGACTGCCATAGAATTACTCCGCGATCTTACCGGTGGGAAGTGATAAGTTCTCCTGAATATCAACTACGTCTGAAACAAAATTGCATTTAAACGTTAACAAATGAGCTTATTCGTATAGTGAAAGTTTCCGAAAATTGTGCAATAAATTTAACATCTTCTTTTCGACACAGCAACGTGTATTCTTTAACACAAGCATTCGTAGAAATAACACAAGCATTCGAACAAATATACTCATAAGTTGTGTCCTTTTGTCTATAAATATAACACCCACGCCGCCACGATATGATAACAAAGACCTAACATGCCCATGTGGTACATTAACAATAACATTTCGAATTTAACTGCTTCAGACAATTACAATAGCCGCCTTATGCTGTCGGATACTCTGGCACTTCTAAGCTTATGCCATAAGATAAAAATAAAAATTCCCGTGCTTTGCTGAAACTCGGACGCTTTTTTTGGGATCTCATCGAATTTCTTCCTGGACATATTGCATTTTGTTTCAGTGTCTTTGATATTTTTACATATATACTATAGAGTGTGTATAGGACAGTAATAGTATGATAGGGTGTATAGGACGGTAATGGTATGATAGGGTTATGAGACAGCGGATGGTTTGATGTTGTAGTTTGTCGCGAAGATCACCTAGGCAATTCTGGCCTTGAGTAGTAGCCTTGACTTTGGCTTTGTTTTGTTTAAAGTGAGTTTTGCTCCCCCACCGGGGTCCTGGTAGGGATTGTGCACGAGTCCACAAGATTGGGTTTGACTCAGTTTAGACCCCTTTGCCATCTAGCACCCTGATGTATGAAACAGTTTTTGGTATCATGTATCCCATTGAGGGCATGATATTGTCAAAGTAAGATTTTGCCGTCACCATAACATGTGTAAGGTATTTTTAGGGTAGAATATACTATATCCATTGTATGTTTATCTGATAATCACAACAGGAGAAACTACATTTCACAATAATAGAAAGTATATTGTCAAAATATGAGAAACTACATTGTCATAATAATAAAAAATACGTGGTCACAACAGGAGAACCTTCATTGTCACAATATGAGAAACTACATCGTCACAATAGTAGAAAATGCGTTGTCACATTAACAGACAAGACATGGTCACGATAGGAGACACTGCATTGTCACAATAGAAGTAACTTATTTTCCACACTCTGAGAAACTACATTGTCACACTAGAAGAAACTACATTGTAACACTATAAGAAACAACATTGTCACACTATGAGAAACTACATTGTCACACTAGGAGAAACTACATTGTCACACTATGAGAAACTAAACTGTCACACTATGAGAAACTACATTGTCACACTATGAGAAACTAAACTGTCACATTATGAGAAACTACTTTGTCACAAAAGACCATTTAGTCACTTGTTTTGTCACCACTCAAGTGCTGAACCCATGCGCTCCTGACACTGCGAGATTGTAACCGATGGATGATGAGGGCCTTACCTTTCTTGACGCAGAGTTTGTGTTTACACTCTGGGGTATAACAAAACATAGTATGACTTGTTAAAACATCGCATCACGTGACAGGAGCCCTGCACATTTTATTTAATACAATGTTTGAACTGAGATTGCTATGGTTCCCCTTAACCTAGATGTGGTTCACGTTATCCTAGATATGGGTTCACCTTATCCTAGAGATAGGTTTCCCTTTCCCTAGATATAGTTTCCCTTTACCCTTGATAAAAGTTCCCGTTATCATAAAATAGGCTCCCCGTATTCTAGAGTACTATTATTTGAAACCTAGCTCCAATGCTTCACACGCTTATCTTACAGACTCGGTCAGTTCTTAATAAAAAAACTATTCTAAATCAGAACCTTTATCTCACATTAATTTCTAGCTCGACATTTCAAAGGCTAGCGTTGAGTGAGATATAAAAATCTAGAGTTAAGCGAAGATTTTCTTTACATCAACTTCAAATAGTAACGAAAAATCTATTTTTAAATTAGAATTTACGAAAATATTTATCCTAATATAACATCTCTGATGCGTTATAAAGCTTTAATGTACAAATTGCAGTGCACACATACGATACCCTCCCCCTCTCCCCAACCTGTTTAAACCCCCCCCCCCCCCCCCCCCCCGGCATTCCATGAACTTTCTTGTTGTTTGGTCGATCGGGTAATGTATCCCCACAACACATTGAGCTCAAGGTAGATTCGTTTGTGCCGATAGCACTGTTTCGTAATAGCATTGTTTAAAATGGTGACCACATGTATTTAACCCCGTCTCCTTGTACACACCATGCGTAAAGGCCTTTAGCTATGTTTCCTTGTACACACTTTCGGCAAATGGTTTTAACTGTGCCTCCTTATACACACTAGGTGTACAGTAATTGAACTTTGTTGCCTTTTACACAATATGGCATTTAACTCTGTCCCATGTACACAATTTGCGTACAGGCGTTCATTACCAGTATTTTGTATATGCATGCCAGAATCGTTGCAAATAGTCGTGACTGTTTCTAAACATGTCATACTTACTTAATGCCAAGATCACGCAATAGGTTAATAGCATCAAGACGATTGGTAGCAGCACCAGGCTAGTGATAGTGTCTGCATGGAAATAAAAGTCAAAACTTAGAATAGGTCCGAACGTGTGGATGGTCAACAAACAACATTAGTAGCGGTATCGGTAAAGAACCATTGCAATAATTGTTAAGATGTGGGGTTAGCTTGAGATGTTACCCCTATGGCGATTGCCTACCCATGTGAAGTACGAACATGTTTGGTTTGTTAGTTAATTTTTTGCCTTTGATCGTAAGGGCTTGTCAAAAGCCAATGCCACTGAAACACGTATTGTTTGGGGACGAGGTAGCATGAAACTCGAAACACTGTGAATACATATTTACGTATTTAGCATGGCACAGTGATGTGATAAATATCAATTTTCTAGGACTTCTTGTTACAGGATGTCGTAGACATTTAATGATTCATGCATAAATGACTTCATAGTGTATTGTCTGCTGACCAAAGCTTTCTGCAAATAGCTATCCATTGAGTATCTCGGGATTTGGATTGGCATCTTTTTTAGTCTACGGCGATTGGTTGTAAAAATGAGGGGGGGGGCTGAGAATGATATCTAAAACGAGAAGGACGACGGGACATTCATGCCATCAGGGTTCAAGGTCACGTGAGTGTGTATGGGTTCTTTAAGCTCACCCTGGCATGCTTGTTGATACATGAAACGATTGCGCTCGCACTCAAGTGGTCAAGGGTTTGGAGTATTTTTGGTCTCCTCTGACTGAAGGGAGAAAGGTGCCTCTGCATGTGCCGCAGTCTTTTTTATTCAATTTCTTGTTCCCAATAGAGACTGGTAGAGCTTTCTGGGCGTCTTCTGAGTCACCTCTTACATTGGGACTGCTAGAGCTTTCTGGCCATCTTCTGGGTCACGTCTTACATTGGGACTGCTAGCGCTTTCTGGCCATCTTCTGGGTCACTTCTTACATTGGGACTGCTAGAGCTTTCTGGCCATCTTCTGGGTCACTTCTTACATTGGGACTGCTAGAGCTTTCTGGCCATCTTCTGGGTCACTTCTTACATTGGGACTGCTAGAGCTTTCTGATCATCTTCTGGGTCACGTCTTACGTTGGGACTGCTAGAGCTTTCTGACCATCTTCTGGGTCACGTCTTACATTGGGACTGCTAGAGCTTTCTGACCATCTTTTGGGTCACGTCTTACATTGGGACTGCTAGAGCTTTCTGGCCATATTCTGGGTCACGTCTTACATTGGGACTGCTAGAGCTTTCTGGCCATCTTCTGGGTCACTTCTTACATTGGGACTGCTAGAGCTTTCTGGCCATATTCTGAGTCACTCTTTTCATTCCACAGTTTATTGAAATAGTATTGTGATCCATTTCAAAAACAAGCTTTCCATATGCGTTTAGGGTAATTCCCTTTACACCACCAGCCTTGTCCACTGGATTAGGGCAACTTTGACTTCTTCTTCAAGGTTACTTGCTTCTGATTGCCATGGATGATTGGGATAAATACCTTTTGGTAAATTTCTCTCAGCAGGATTGAATCGCTGTTTGCTTATGGCCAATATGTCCTGCATTATAATAAATAATTAGTACAGAGCCATTTTGATATCCTGAATAGTACATGCGAAATCAGTGCAATAAAAATAAGCAAAGATACGACCGAAGTCATGTCAGTAGAGCGAGATCATTTCAGTAGGCCATACCTTAGTAAAAGTAGACATAGCCCATCAGTGGTAAGTTTCTCCATCCAATTAGGAGTTCAAATATCTGGAAAGCATCTTTACCGAGGACAATGGAGAGATAGAGTCCAGTGCGCAGAGGGCAGACTTAATCAGCTACCAAATCTCTCCGCCACTAGAGACACAGGCGAAGAAAAAAGCATGTGCCATTTACGCTGCCTTGATTTTAACCCTTACTTACAAGTGTAGAATCTGGGCTCTGAATTTAACTCAAGATAAAACTATGCAACTGCGGGATGAGGTGCTAAGACGAGCGGCTGGTAACAACAAGAGGCGGCAACATTCGGAACAAGGAAATAAGATAAATGGTTGGTTCCATCTCATTCAGCCCAAAATATAGCCCCAAAAGAGAGTAATGATGGTTTGACCACCTGGTCAGAATGCCTGTGCAAGCTTACAATAGTGAACTGTCAGACTCTAGTGCCAGAGGAAGACAAGACTGTCTTTTTAGAGACTGTTAAAGAAGCCATAAAAATCCTCAAAATTGACCTCCAGCAGGTCTCACACACTTTGCGGCCGACCATCAACCATACCCACCCCCCCCCTGAAGAAGAAGATGAAAACATATAGGACTGCTTACAATTGATCCTTGTCACTGGTCTTAGAGTTGGTAGAGGAGGTGCGGAGGTTGCAGAGTTCATTTCAGCCATTGATGTAAAGGCAAAGGATGTTGAAAGTTCATTCGGTGAGTCAGACGTTGAATTACTTTCTGGTGTAGGAAATAAAATACAATGCAAACATAAATGTATTCTCACACCTAAATGAGCTCATCTTAACTGCTCCACATGTGGTCACCATTTCTCTTACGTCTCTCGTGCAAATATTTTTTATGTATTCTACAGGTTTGGGTAGATGGAAAACGACATAAATGCTTATAGCTAAATTCTCCATAAAGTAAAATAATCTTAAATATTTAAATTACAATAAGATTCTCAATAAAAGTATAAAAGAGATGAAAGGCATTCCTTTAATAGCTCTGTAATAATAGTGTCACGTATACATACCATCTATGGAACTCTCTACTGTTTCGTTTACTGAAAAGTCTAGAAATTAAATGAATTAGTAAAATTTGTGGGACATATGTCTCAGTTCTTTTACATGTTTAAATTCAACAAGATGTGGAGATGTTTGTCTTCGTCAATAAATTGAAACAATGAACCCAAGATGTGTGAGATGGATGTCTACTTCAATCAATTGAAACATTTCAAACAATGAACCCGGGAGACAGCTGTCATTTTTCAGTGTGACTAAAAATAGATTACTTACGTTGAAACATACTCAAAAATAAAAGGTGAAGGTCAAAGTAAGGCTCTATCCAACATTGTCGAACATGAGTGGGGTGTAGAAAACGGCTTAACAGTTGATTAAGAACATGACATTAATGCCATGCGGTTTTGAGGTTCCATACGTCTGAATAATTTTGGTCTCCAAGTACAACCGGTTTGGCGTGTTGGTACAGGACACAATGGCGAGGACAGAAAAATCCCTTGAGCCTCCGTGGTCATTTATAGTGAAGTTTTGAGAGATGGGACACTGCTTAACTTGCGCAACATTGTACGAAAAGTGTGTACACGCGCAATTCCTTGACACAAAACACAATTAACGATACTCACAGCACTCGAACTTCCCGCCGGCATAGCACCGGTCATCAAACGAGAATGTATACACGTTGGGCCCCTCGTTCTTCTGGATCGTAAAGCTGGAACAGTCTGACGATGTCGTCATCAGAGTTTGAGAATTCCTCTTGACCTTCAGCTCCATTGGTGTCGACAAATTCTGCGCACAGAACGAGACCGAACTGTGGTCGTGTGCACGCGACAAGCTGGGACAACTCCATTCTATTGGCATTTTCTCTCCACCGCCAATGGATAAAGTGGCAGAACCTTCAGCTTGAAGAGATGGTATCCTAATAATAACAAAGTGGCAGACCCATTATCTTGAAGAGATGGTATCCTAATAATAACAAAGTGGCAGACCCATTATCTTGAAGCGATGGTATTATAATAATAACAAACGGGCATAACCTTTAGCTTGAATAGATGGTATCCTAATAATAACAAAGTTGCAAAACTTTTAGCTTGCAGAGATGGTTGCCTAATAATAACAAAGTGGCATAACCTTCAGTTTGAAGAGAGAGTATTCTAATGATAGCAAAGTGGCTTCATCTTTAGCTTGATTGTTGGTATCATTATAATAATAAAGTGACCGGCTCATAATGATGTGGGAAGCTTAGGTGTCCTTCCATCCGCCCTGAACGATTTTAATCCCTTAAGTTCCCTACACAAATCTGATCGTCCAAAAGGGGAACAAATGATGGTTGACCTGACTGCATGGGATCGAACAGGTTTTGGATCATAAGATGACATTTAGATCTAAGGTGTATTTGCTTTTGTTGTTTTCTTTTCTAACACTCTCAATGGGTGAGCGTAGAACGAGGTTACACAAATTTATGTAAGTGTTTTTTTATAATTGTTTTTCACAAAGTCTTCAACTCCTTTTATGATATTACTTTCAATTTCCAGCCAAGTACTAAAGACTGGTTCCTAGTACTAAAGACTAGTTTCAGAAACTCAAGACTGGTTGTCCTAGGTACAAAAGACTGGTCCCTTGTGTGAAAGACTGCATGGTTCCAGGTGCTAAAGACTGGTTCTCGGTGCTACATACTGGTTCCTAGTACTAAAGATTTGTTCCTCACTGTGTAACAGCAGTTGGAAAGTCTATTATTAAAAAGCTTTACTGTTGTAAAATGTCTGATACCTTTGTGAAAAACTCATTTAGTGCGGAAGAAGACTATATACATTTTAAGTTATGTTGAAATTCTACTTACCTCCCTTGACACAAGCTGTGGATAAGTTTGATTTTTTTTTGTAACTTGATATATTACCAAACGTTTAAATTTATAACTGAATATGAATTTGGAAAAAAAACATACAATATACAAACAAAATACTTCATTAAAATACAGCAACTGTCATTCGACTTAAATCTTAAACCCCACATGCCAGATATCACAATGCCATTATAAGAGAATGTCATCGTAAGTAGTGTACCCATCGGACTCTACGTCCCATTAACACGGGGAAGATGGCGGACAGAAAGCTAACCGTTCAAGTTGCTTACGTCCTTATTTCAAATAGGCCAACACTTTGTTCCATATTTATGATAGCAACATTTTCAGGTGGTGCCAATACCCCATTGACCATTAACCTGATAAAAGCTAGACTTATTCTTTACACCGGCGCTCATTATTTTTATCTTTTCTTTTTAAATTTAAAAAAAAGAAAGAAAAAAACAACATAGTTTTTGTTTAGTGCTCCCCTGTCCTGAAAATAAAAGTTTTCAGGGATGAAATATGTATAGATGGGTTTCAATGATGATTTGATGAAGCTATTGTTTTAATACACAGTATCAATTCAAACTTATCAACGAGAATGTTCTCTATCATTCGGTGTCTGGGTAACAGCCTCTGGCGTAAAGTTAGGATGTAATTGCTCCGTCGTAAAGAGTATACGTCCGGTAATAAATAACACACGCGTGAACTCACCACGTCTAAGCCAGCGTCGCATTTAGTACCACTGTAATAGATATTCCTGATAAGTTATCCTACCTGTAATGATGATACGAATAGTAAAAGTTCCCTATCCTGTTTGGGTCACATCCTTTTATTAACAATCAACAATCCTACCCCGGGTCATATACCATTGGTAGGAACCAAACATACATATCCCGATGGGGTCACTCACCTTTAATAGGACTCAATCATACATATCTCAATCGGGTCACACACCTTTAGTAGGAATGATACATACATATCCCCGATCGGGTCACACACCTTTAGTAGGAATCAAAGCTACATATCCCGATCGGGAAAGACCTTTAGTAGGAATCAAACATGCGTATCCTGAGTGGGTCACTCACCTTTAGTAGGAATCAAAAAAACATATCCCTATTGAGTGACATACCTTTAATAGTACAAAAATAAGTGTAATCCCTGGGGCAAGTATCGAAAGCTTCCAGTCTGAGAATCACTCCGTCTTCTGGTATCGTGTAATTCCGAGCAATGCACAGGCATTTACGTTCAGTCCCCGTCAAGTCCATGATGCTCTCGTAGCCAAACGACATCCGAATGTGAGGTTTATAGTAGTCGTACATACAGAACTCAAACGTGTAGGCTCTCCCTGGCCTTAAGGTCAAAGGGCATCCACGCTCCAACACGTCTGGTCCTTCATTCAGTTTTAAAGTTCGATAATGGTGATCTATAAAGATTTATACATCTATAAGAAAATTCATAATAAAGTTTCATGTACATTTGCGAAAAAAAAACAACAATATCGTAATTTTTAAGTTTTTTTTTTAAATGGCGATGAAGTCACCAAGAATCATCAGTTATTGTGAATGTTTGGAAAAAAATGATTTTAAAAACTCACAATTTTTTAATGGAAAAAAATGTGTGTTCCTCCAAAAAGCGAAAGAAAAAGGAAAGCTAGGTTCGTTGCAGATACTAAACATTCCGAGTTGAGAACCACCTTCGTGAGCGAGTCATTTGTCAGGAATTGGTTATTGGGAAGGTCTTAGAAAGCTTCTAAATATGCATATTAAGAATCACAATGTGCTGAAATTGTGTGTTTAAGTCAAGTGCTGATAGTTTGTGATTAAGTCAATTGCAGATAGTTTGTGATTGAGTCAATTGCTGATAATTTGTAATTGAGTCAATTGCTGATAGTTTTTATTTGAGTCAACTACTAATAATTTGTCATTTGTGTCAATCGCTGATAGTTTGTGTTAGAGTCAGGTGCTGAGAGTTTTTGCTTGACTTACTGCTGCAGTTGATGATGACACAGCTGACCCGGATGACGCTCATTAGAACCAGCAGTGGGGCAGACGTCTTCAGCATGAACTGCTCTCTTCAAGTGTTGAAAACTGCCGTGACTCTCACACACAGAGGTGAATCAATTCACAAAATCACATCACGGAACTTATTTCGTTTTAGGAAAAAATTGTACAGTTTTCAAGAGTCGATGTAGTGTTTAACGGTTGGTACAGTGTTTAACAGCTGATTGGAATCACCCCCAAAAAGCAAGAAATTTCGGATGTTAAATATTATGATTTTTTTTTTTTAGTATATCACTTATTCTTTTCTTGAAATGACACATTATTTGATGTGTCTGTTTTTTTTAATAAAAGACTCTAAGGCGCTCTTCTATTGTCAGAGCTGTTCTTTTCCCACGAGGAGTTGTGTGCCGTACAGCAGGATTTTGCTAATGACACAAAAAGTGTTCATTGACATAGCTTGACGTA